GACTTGGCGGTTGCGCAATTGCGACAGCGTTGTAGCGATTTTCTGCACAATAGCCGAGTGGGGCGTGTCGTTATTGATCGGTATGGTTTGCGTTGGGCGCGTTGTCGCTGTCTCGATCGCGCAATCGCCGAGTCTACATCATCTTACCATTAGTGCTACGTACACGTGCATGCTCAGGGGATCTAATTGCGGTCCAACCCTCTCCCAGCCGGTTGAATTTTCTTCATCTCTGGACAATTTGTTTGATTCTATCGGTGTTGTCCTGAGGTAGCGACGAAGCTTCCGACTCATCAACAATATTACCGACGAAAGCTTCGACTCGTGCGTCAGCTGGTCTCTGCGAGTGGGGTCATCGGCTGGGTCTCTCTTTGTAGCACGGGTCAAATCAATTTGAAATGAGACTACAGATCCGATGGGAGTGGAATGCATGGCGCATCCCAGGGACTCGATCAGCGCCGATTCTGACTTTCATCCGTTTCTCCTATACCCGATTACTGCAGTTTTGTTTTTCAGAATGCATTTACGTACGATTTGAAGTATCTAGATAAAATTAGATGTTGCAGATCATTGGCGCAGTCCTGCCAGAACTTCCTCATAACGAGACGTGTTGGTGGTGTGGTTGGTTCATCTCTGTTGGCTGAAATGCTGTCATCAGTGCAGGTCACTTGTGCTCGCTGACAGCAGCGACATCGAAGTCCGACATCTCGTCCAATCTAGGTATTTTTTGACCACTTCGACGATCGCTCTGTCATCTCATCTGTTTTATCTACTTGTCTTTTTGTGTGCCTAGCATCTAGCCTATTACATCTGCTAGCGCATTATTCCGCTGGACAGAAATGCGATCACACGTTCAAGTTCCTCAATATTATCGAATGATTGGAGAATAGCATGGTTGAGAAAAACATTTCGTTATGGAATCTTACAATGCCTTGCTTTTCTTGTCTACATATGTGCTGAATGAAATCACCGTCATATATCTGTTGAAATGTTCTCCCATCGATTGATCTGTGCATCTTTTTATTGATTTTTGAATGTACTCAAGTTGTCCCTCATTAGGCATCGATTCGTTTTCCTATTATGTTTTACTTATTATCAGTGCAGCCGTTTTGGGCCGAAATATACGCATTGAAGCGCGCAAGTTGTTAGCAAGCGGCACCACTAGACGATTTGATGCGTATCGACCCATCAAACAATGGCGTGCCGCTACCGCGCGCGCCGTATACTTGACGATGTCTTATTCGTCTCTTAACGGACTGTGCACTGTTTTCGTTTTTTATCAAAACGGGGTCGCCATCTTAACAGATACCGCACACTCGACTTCATAAATCTTGCCGTGTATACGGGTTCTTTATAATCTTGCCTTTGCATTTTTTTTATCGCCACTGGTTTAATTCTACCCCATAAAAATTGTTCATCATCTACAGGAAATTCATGGCGCCAATCTGCATTTACTCATTGCTTACAGTAATGTGTTTCAAGCAAGTTGTCATACTAATTGCCTTGCCACATGCGTCTTTACAATTGTTGTATGCATCGATTGTATTTTTTACTGTATAAATAATATCTGTTGTTGTATTATTCTGATGTAGAACGGTAATGTGTCTACATAGCATAGTGGAGTTTTTTTAAACGTATTTTCAGTCGTTTTTTTTTAATAGAAGTAGCGCTGAAGACCTGCCGAAGTGTTTGGCTGGGGCGATGAAAATCCGCACTTTGGAAGCGCCGCCCACGCTCATTGAACACAAGCCCGGCGAAACTAATTCAAAAATTCCAAAGCAAAATCTACAAAGGAGAAGCAAGCAATTCCTGGTTGAGATTCCTTACAAGGGTGAAGTAGTAGCAAATGGCTCCACGCTTGCGGTTAGGGGTTAAATGCACGGTCATCTTCCACTCAGGCTAACTAACCCATACATGTCTCCGGGATCGGTGAAAAAACTAGTGTGGAAGGATGGAAACAAACTCGCACATCGGCTGTGCCCTTATGACCTCTGTGGGTGAATCATATCCGAAATGCCATTACGAATCTTAGAGGATGTGCATGGCGTATCCCAAAAGGGTTTCACCAGTGCAAAATGCTTTATTTTTATACTGTGTAATGATAGGCTTTTTTCGAAAAAGGTAACAGGTTTATGAGCACTGTGCAAGAGGCTCGATCGACTGCCGCCACTGAGCGCCGAAAGAACCCCGCCTCAGACGCGAAACCCGCCCACAGTTTATAAATACGACAGGCACCTTCGAAATCACTGGACAATGAAAGAAATGGATAGGTATATCCCAGCTCATGAGCATGATTTCCTCTAATGCATACCTAACAGCGGCTCCAAGCGTCGGAAAAAGGGAAAGGTCCTTTCGTAGAAAGGACAGGACAGGACCTTCAGCGGTACCGGAACGTTTCGCCAGCGGAAGTTTATGCAACCCACCGGTCGGCAGCGGCCGTAACCCACGCTGCTTCGCGCCCGGGTGGGTACCCAACAAGGCAGGACCCCGTCGCGCGACAAGAAGGCAAAGTCAGCGGACGAGTCGGGCGCGCACTATTGGGATTTCGTGTCAAGTTAAATAGAGTGTCCCACATGCACACCACGCGCTGCAACTCGTCCGCCGACTCTACCTTCTTGCCACGCGACAGGCCTCCTGGGGGTACCCTCGCCGCCCCTCACTCTACATGAAGGGCTACCTCTCGCCCGTCTACTCTAGCCGATTTCGCAGAGCAGGCATAGCCATTGGGAAGCAACCACCGATGCAAGCTAGCTAAACGCGCGTATAACAGGCAAACGGGGATCCGTTTCTAGGATTCTACGCATTTTGCTTTCTACTCCTCCCTACATCACGGACCACTGCCGCTCTGGTTCGATAGATTGTCTTTTAGCCATAAACTCTGCCTTTAAGAGCATGTTTCACCTCAACAATTCAAAATTTATATGCAAATAGAATCGCTGTAGAAAACACATCGTGGAAAATCTCAGTCGTTTTAGCGACCAACGATCCTGGAGTGTCGCTTTGAACGATGTGAACAAGTATAAGCGCCGCACAATCAAATGCATCGCGGCGATTAACGTGTCGCATGGAAGCGTACGCATTTGCGCTGAATTTCAAGACCTGAGACGGTTACGTAACTTTCACGCGAGCGCAGTGACGAAATTGCGACAGCATCCAGTTTTCAGGCGCTTCTTCATCGTAGCGGCGCTCTGACTTGCCTTGCCAACATCTGGCCTGGAACCACGGAAAACCAGTCACACGATCGTACATGTGAATTCGAACAGAGCAATTATAACATATGCAGGAATACCAATACTTTTAGAAGTGAAGAACAAAAAACAATCGTCGTTGATCGACCCTCCTTTGGGATGCGCCACGCATCCACTTCGATTCCGTAGTCGCGTTTTGAAGGCGAGGGAGACCATACAAGGGATCGCTGGGACCAGCCGTTCAGTGCGAATCGATGCTTTTGCCCTTCCGACGAATTTGTACCAATAATACCATATCCCGGTTGGCTGGGAAGGTCTTGGCATTCCAGCGCACGACCTGGATTGGATCCTCGGATCATGCTCCTGGGTGAGCAGAACCATCAAAACATTGACGTATTCCGCTCACTTCAACAGGGACACTAATGCAATTATATATCCAAAAGTACATAGCGAACCGTCTAGAGTAGAAATTGCAGGTAAAAAATTAGCGCTTCATGACCACGTGAGTGCACACATGATTTGAGGGACAAAGCGATTGCGCCGATATCCTGGTGCTCTCAGTGATCCTCTCAGAAGAACTAGCATACTGCGGAAGTCGTGCCCTCGGTAAAAGCGGCGATGTCTCTTAATGACCCTGGCAACCTCATCGCGCTTGTTGGGAGAGAACAAAATGCCACGGATGCCCTTATCTGGAGAGAGTAGGGTGAGACAGGTTCTGTGAAAATTTGGATAATGCTAAACTCTCCCATCTTACTTTGGGGGACCACGAGTTTCCGGCGACCCTGGGTCCTTCTCCGATCTTTGTTCAATACATCTGAGGTCACTCCCACTCGTGAACGTTGAAAGGCAGGGTGTTCGCACAGACTCACCAAAAAAGCCTTTTAACGTGGCGTAGACGAACTCCCAACTTCAGTGGGCCACTTTCGCGGCTGACCGATTTCGGCACTCGCACTTGAAGGCAAAGCGCTTAAGTCTTGGATCTATAAGCCACAGAGATCTGTTTAACACAGTGTGATGGTATCATCTGGGGATCGAATTGTTGATCGCATATACTCTCTCTCTCGGCTCTTACTCGCACTTCTTTCCCCCTCCGCGACCCACATTATCTCTTACCTTACTATTTTGCTGGACTTCTCCGCAGCATAGAGCACATGGTTCACATTTTCCATGTTCATTTTTTTCATTTTCTCGTGGCGCGTCACGTTGCACACTATTTATTTTAAGAGCCCACATCAAATTAATCTTGAACGGTGTCTTTGGAGGCAGTGAGCACTCTGAGGGAGGAAACTCTTCCGCAAGAAGGGTGCAGGTCAATTTGCTAACAAGGCTCGAAATGGGCGAAAATTTGAAAATTTTCGAGTCTAGGGGTTGTTTGGAATCTAGCAGGCCTCACTCCTTGAAAGAGCTGTAATCCCGGCTAATTATTTCAAGCCCTTATGATCTAAAATACGTAGCTACTTTCGAAACCGGCACTGCACGTGTTGTGTCGACTATGATTTGCGACGCTTTCGCGCGCGGGAACGCCCCTCTGCTCGCGACTTATAACTTGAAAGGAAGCCACTTTTAAGCACAATTGACTAGACTCTCTAAAATTCCACAGTTTGTCGATCAAAGTTGTTTGTCCGAATGATGAAATCAAAATAACAGTGCACAAGATTTTATTCATATAAAAGAACAAACAACACTCGGTGGAGAATTTTTTTAATTCTATTGAAATATGTGACGTCGACTTCGATGACACATACCCATACACGCGCGCCCCCCACCCCATACGAACACACCCTTATAGACAAACAGCCAGCAGCGCGAACAACTTTAAGCTGTGACGATACTTTGAACATTTATAGTAGAGAGGCGGTAAAGGAATTGTCGTCGACGGATCCATAGAATACTTTGCGAGAACCTTCTGTAGCGCGAGTAGAAGTCCTGCTGCAGGTCTGGCTTTATAGCACTGGCCAACGGGTCTATGTTGATTAGGACTGGTAACTGACATTGAACCGGTGAAAAGTAGCAGTTGCGGTATTTTTGCGAATCCGCTGTTTCTTTTCTGAAAAACGAGATTATTTTGGTGATTGAAAAATTGAATAAATCCATATAAATAATGTCATTTATTAGTGATATACTGAAAATTCAAATGAATAAATGAACCTCATTATGGCAAATAGACGTTTAACGTGTCTGTTTATTTGCCTCTTTGTTTGTAAATGGCAGGTTGGTTCGCCACTTAGATCTTATATTTAACAGGGCATGGTCCGGAGGGCGGAGAGAAACTTGCCGAATTGCCAATTAGGTCTGGTACGGTAGTAGGCGGGGCATGGCAAGAAGAACGCGCAGCGCCAGGCGGAGACTCGACAGATCGCGGCGGGCACGTTTGGATGAAATCCTGTTTCGGGTGCCGAGCTTAAGCATGATTTTCGAAAAGTCATGTGGCTATTGGGTAGGTTGCTCGCAAGGGAACCAGCTTGAACAATACAGGATACTTCAGAATCACGACCTCGCCACATAGGTCTTTCGGGTCGAAAGAGACGTAAGAATTGCTACCAGCAGTTGTGGGGGGTGAGCGCAGAAGTATTGAAGTTGCTATATGCTGCGAACGTTGTCGCTTCGGGTTCCATCAATATTCGATCTAAATCCGCTTTTCACCAAAACTTGCGTGATAAATGAATAATGCGTATGTCGTCGATCAATTGCCCAAACCCTCTTCCACAAGGATGTCCGCGCGGTTACACCATGCGCTCAACTTTTGACATCAGTGTAAGGATTTAAATGCTCATCTGAATGATCCATAAAACACGAAAGCGACGTTAGGTTAAAGTCAACATTATAATGCCCCTTCAGGGTACTGCTGATACATAAGATAATGGAATTTGATCCAAGGATCGGACGTGGCACTGGCGCCCATCGGACGAGCTGTACCTCGGACGCGCGAAGCGAATGTGGAAAATTACCTCATGTGGTTAACTGGTATAACTTCAGATATTGAATTTTTTCTTCAACAGGAACAGACTCACTTTTTCAAATCAAGTTTTTCTAGCAGCGGCAGTTTCTTCCGTAGCCTCGATTGAGCCCAATACCTGTAAACGTGATAGAATGTCATCGGCTATGAAGGAAGGATTTACCGTTAAGCTCAGTGATAGCACCCAAGAATCTGCGCATTATGTTTTCTAAAAGGTCTTGCACTTTCAACTGAACTCGGGTTGCGCCATTTTGCCATCACTGACCCCCGACTAAGCGGTTCATGTATCGGAAAAATTTCCGAATTTTCACTTGGTCTATTCTATTCACATATTCAACGAACTTTTCAATCTCTTTTTTCGATTAGAATGATGTTTCTTTTTTATTCTTTTTCTTCAATGTTTTACTCTTCAAACACAAACAGGTGCGAATGGCAAAAGGCGGTGTAGGCAACAGTAAGCTAAAATGGCTAAAATTCTGAAAATTTAGGGTGGAAAATGGAGTCAAATCGACTCCACGAACTCAGGTTGGAGCGAGATTGTGGCAGTGAACGCCTCGCAAACTCAGAAAAAATTCATACGAAATGCTTTTAACGTGTGCTAGTGGACTGCGCTTAGCTTCCTCCTTAACTTTACGCCGATGGCGAGTCCTATGGCTGCAACGCAGGTGTTCTGAGGACGATGGCGCCCATAGGGGATGTTTAGACAGCCTTCAACATTGGAACATTCCACGACTTATTGGGTTGTCTCATAATTCCTGTCGCAATTTCGACACTTTTGTTTATTCAAGTTTTATCTCTTCTGGGAAACAACTGACTAATAGCATAACCACCATCATGGTCACTGATATGCGTGCATTTACTAGTGGGCGTTTGGAAGCTTCCACCCCAGAATGAAGGAAACTGGGGGTTGAAGAATTTGGAGAAGTCGTTTTTGGGGTGACCGCAATCTTTAACTTTCTTCTCTGGCAGATGCTTATTCAAAGCGCAGGGGAGGCGATAGTCCGATAGAGCGATGCCAATGCTATATGGTGGATGAGGTATCGTGGCCCTGGCTATCTCCTCAGAACGTGGTGAGTTGGCATTGCAATGTGAGGTCTGGTGTACATTCGGAGGAAGGAGGATCTGAGACGTTTCTGACGATTCTCTCGCAACCCCAAAGCCAGCCAAGAGGGCTATTCCGCGCTGACTTCAGCAATGCTTGTCTTCATACATTGAAGTGGTTCCCAAACCAGGCCACCTAGCGAATCCAATAAAACGAGAGCGATATTCTCAGAAAACGGAGTTCGGGCTTTGGTTGAGCTGGTGCTTCCTGGCTGCGAGGCAGCCATAAGACGTGCCGCATGTTGTTGTCGCAGTGGACTCATGACTCATTTCCACCGGTGACCGATTAGGGAAGACTCTGCTTTTGCCATCCAAGAATGGGTTTTCCCCAGGTGATCAGGCGTGCTCCCGCTCATGGTCGGCCGGACCATAAGGTTTCCATCAAAACTTCACTCTGCAGCAGTCTTTGCCATACTGATGGCCAGTGCTGGTGCATCGGCTGCGCTCAGGTATCTGCTACAATACCCTGGTAGCAACGTGCGGAGGCACTCCCAATTTAGGGTGCAAGGGGCGCTCATCAAAAATGACCGCAGGCCCAGTATGAGGTTGAAGTTCATAGCTCGTTTCGTCTTTGCCGTTGCGATTGGTCCACTAGCTCAGTACCCTATCAGTAGCAGAGACTGAGTCAAACACAGCGCTGATCTTCTCTGTTGTCCTCCTTGCTACAGAGTTCATTTGAGGATCGTAAAGCATAATCATTGATTGCAGTCACTGACCTATTTTTATTACTAGTTGATTAACCCGTTAAGGGCTTGCGCTTCCGAAACCACGCTGTTAAGGCACTTGAAGCATACTTCAACATACTAACGTATTTCGCAATGAAACGGTCTTAGACGGAAGGAATTTGAAATTGAATAGAAATGCGACAGGAATTATGAGACAACAATCTGTGGTATTCATGTTTTTGTTCATTTACAGTACAAAATCTGAGGTGATGTGGTGAGGCGGCGGCGCCCACAAAATCGCGTCCGTCCCACGCGACCGAAAAGTGGAAAAGGGGCGTCGTCGTGAATGTGTTAAAGGAGGAATTCACGATTAGAATGAAGGTCGAAGAAAGGGAAACTGACCTAGTTGAGGGACCCACGGACCTCCTGAGGGTGCGAACTGACGCGCAATTCGCATGGAAAAATTTGACCTCGGCGACCTATCATGCCTCAAAGCTGGCGGGTCCGGCGATCTCCGCCCACCGATCATCTGATCACTCGCCGTAGTTCAATACGTGGCGAGTGATTAGATAGCTGAGAGAGCGTAGTGTTGAAGAGGGCACAGCGATGAGAGTCGCATCAATGCTCAAATCAACGGGCAAGGAAGGGGTCCCATTTCTCGGGTTCTGGGCCGTTTCTCATGGTTCTTCCTTCTTTCGTGTACCACTCACCATCCCTAGGTTAATTTGAAATGGGTTGCTTTTTCATCGTGAATTCGTCCTTTAAAGTGCACTGTTTATTACACCCAGACAATTCCTCCTTCCACAAAAAGCCTCGCATCACTTCTACCCTCCCCCTCCCTCCGTCCACAAGGGCTTCTATTCTCACAGTGGCTTGCCCCGATGCCTTCATATAAACACCACTCAAGGATGTGCAAAAGGAGAACTTCTGTGGCGGGAGTTTGTTGATGCCTACCCGTTTCAGCGCAGTACTTCACTCGAACCTATGGGACCATGTGGTGACGATTTTGCCCTGATCTTTAAAGTAGTGTTTTCATTCGTCCACTCAAGTGGAGACATCCATCACCCATTTTGAAAGGGATAATGCTCTATTGAACTAGTTTTATGGAAAGAATTGTGAGCGCCTTTTGCTGTTGGCTGTTGTAGTATCTAGAGGAATTGTATTGCTTTTGTTGACGCTACAATACGGACTGATGTTATTTCCCAAGAATTTTAGTCACTCGATGTTGACTAGTGTGTAGTGGACGGTATTGACATTTTGCCACTCTTCATTAGACTTTTATTCACAGAACACCTATTTCCCATTCCCCATCACATTTGCAATATAATTCATGCAAAAAATCACCAGAATGTGATTTGGCGTGGAAAATTCCGACTATTCATAGTCTTAGCTACAAATAACTGTCTGGACACTATTTTGGTGAGTCATGCGTTTGATCGACCATCATAAAAAAAGCGGTCCGATTAAAGTATGAGGTTGGGACACTGACTCAGGTATAGCCGATGTCAGACTTTGCGAATCGCGCGATTCGCTAGCGTCCGCGGTCGCGTTGCGGTACCAGCCAATTGAGTGATTCACTGGCCGCGACGCGACCGCAGACGCTAGCGAATCGCGCGATTCGCAAAGTCTGACATCGCCTATGGAGGACTGCGGCGACTTCTCCATTGTTTCATTTTAAGTAGATTTCAAAAAATTCCAACTCACCTCATAATCGGATTAATGCTTTTTAATTCTCGGAAAGGATCCTCAGCGTCACATAGTACAACGGCAACGAATGATAGAATGATTATGAATAGGAGTTGAGGGGTACCCATTGAGGTGGGAATCCGACGCCTAAACAAAGTAATGGTGGAACAAGTGCAATAACATTTAATTAGCGAGATTATCGACAGCTGGCACCGACCATTCAAACACTGATAACAGCGCCAGCCACACATGACCCGCACTCCGCGGATAGCGCGGGACGGCGCGGTTCGTATTGGGCTCGCGGCGGCAGTGCTTGCGTATGTTTCAGGCGGCTAGGCCAGGAGGCGCGCTGTCATCAATGTTTGAATGTATTGTAGTGGATTCTTCGACTATTTTCTGAGAGAACGAAGGCTGTTAAGAGAGTAAGCCGAATAGTGAAGAGGTATAAAAAATGAGAAAAAAAAGGCAAACGAAATGGATGTATAATAATAAAATGTGGCTAACTGAGTTAATGAAAAGCCTCAAGAATACGAGCCGAAATAATTCGTACATTGGCTTCGAGGAAAGTTGTATCAGACCGTGGTCAAGCTGGGCGCGCGCTAATTTGTGGAGGGCATCATCGCGTCCTTTGACTGAAATGCACTACCGTATCTTCAGCGTTGAGGGAAAACTATTAGAAAGCTCACAATTGTTTATTTCTGAAAATGCCGTTATTCTGTTTCAGAATACGAGAAATTCCAAAACATTTTAAAGCAACAGTTCAGGAACGGTTTCGCGGGAAAAAACCACCAATAATGAAGTTGTAGATGAAAACCAGACGATTAATGTATGAAAAACTGGAAAAAAACGTCGGGGAGGGTCTTAGACAGGTACTCTCCCTCTGCCGCTCAGCAATGGATAAAGACGCACGTTGGACGAGTTGTCTGAACGTGCCCGCTGTAAACGCGCTCCATTTTTCAATCAATTTTCCCTGTGGTCCCAAAACGAGCACGATTGCCGACGCGTCCAATGACGGCCCGGCAAGGGGGCGGGATTGGGGAAATCCCCAAGAACACCCATGTTTGAGGGACTTTCCACCCTGTTTTTGAGTTTCTGAGGTAAGTTCGTTTATTATTTCCACTGCATATGTTCTTCACTAGGGCTCGTGTATCCCTCAGTAGTAGTGGCATTGAAATTTTCGGACCCTCCCAAACTCGTATTTAAAGGAGATGAATTGATCGAGATGGAGAATACGGATAGATAAGTAGAAGATTCGGTAATTGATCGGTCTCTTTTTGAGATGCAAACGACTTCCTCAAATATCTGGAATATAGGTGATTTGGCATGTGAAATTTGACCTCCTCCGTCAGCCTTGTGTAGGGGCCCCGCCACACCGGGCGTCATGCACATCCATACTCCTCTTTTTCATACCCAAGATACGTCTGGGCTTGAAGAATATGACCCGGGGGCGCATGACTCTCTAACCGTGCTTGTACCTACACCGACTTCCTCCTGCCCCCCCCCCAAAATACAAATGTTTCCTTTCCGTAGTGCCTCCTTTTGCTGTTAGCGAATATTTCTACGCGAAGATAAGTCGGAGATATGTTAGTTGCGCAGCCCTTTTTCCGTTCTCTGACTTTTCTCTTGAATTTTTGTGGCCTGCTTCGATGATTTTGACGCCCCCCCCCCCCGAAGGTCGGCAATCTTTCGCACATTTCTTCAGACACCGCATGAATATAATTACATTATGAAGCACACATTCGAACAAAAATACTATTGAATAGCTGAGTTCGCAACCAAGCTTATGGCTTTTCGAACAGCATAAAAATCTAAAAAAATTGTTTCCCAGTCGTTTATTATTGGAAGTTCGGCTCTGACGAAGCAGTCCCTCATTGGTTAAGCGGCAGCTTAACTGTCCGGAAAGCGAGAGGTGCGGGTTCGAGCTCCCTTGTGACATCCTCAAAAAATCAATCAAAGTTCGAAAACCCATAGGCCAGAAAAGCGTTGAAAATTTCAGCAAATCCATGCCGCTCGTGGCCTCAGGGGGACATTCAGAATAAGGCATTTAAGCGCTGGTAGGTGACTCTAGGGCTATGCCCAAGAGATGGAAGAAACACCCAAGAGCACCAGAGCTGCTCACATCATCCTCCAGAATCCCTTAGCCTCCTAAGGCTTAGCAAGTAGTGTAAGTGACTCACTCACAAAGTCCCCCTCCCCCCTTCAACGCACTTGGCTTTTTGGGAAAAAGCTGCAGCTGCTACTAAGCGGTCAAAACAGTTTTTTGGGCACTACTTTTTTTTCTCTAAAAATGTCGTAAAAATCGGTGGAGGCTAATCTTTAAGTTTTCCACTCAAATTTTGAGATTTAAAAATTCAAGACCCTAAAAGATATGACGTATGAAAACATGAAGTGAATTGGCTGAGTGAAAAAAATGCAAAGCAAAAAATCATTTCGGCGAATATTTCTGACCGCTACGGTAGGTTTGAGGTTCAGTGAGCAGCGAAACGTGGGGGTTACCGATGTCGTCCAAGGAACAGAATAGCATCTCATCTCATTAATAAACATCACGATAATTACAAGTGTGTCGCATAATTGGTAACTCTTTTGCGGGGCAGGTAGGTGACCTCAGCGGTCGGAAATCAGTCCGTTTGAATCTCAGAAATGCTAGCAGTACAGTACGGTATAGCAGCACATAACTCATAAGG